AAAGAGAGAGAGAGAGAGAGAGAGAGAGAGAGAGAGAGAGAGAGAGAGAGAGAGAGAAAGAGAGACAGAGCGTCGCAGTAGAGCTACGCGGGGGAGGCGAGAGTGCGAGAGAGGGTGCGAGTATATGGGGGCGAAGGATGCCGAGAGGGGTGCTGCAGACGCGCCACGACAAGGGTAAATGTACGTACGAATGCACCCCGGATTGGCTTCGGGATGGTTTCCATGGAGACCAATTCGCTCGGCCCGGGGAAGTTGTCGCCGCCGCCGCCACCGCCGCCGCCACTACCATCACCATCACCACCACCGCCGCCGCCGCCACCACCGCCGTTACTGCCGCCACTGACGCAGCTTTCCCCGGAAAATTCGTACAGCTTCTCTAAACGTTGAAAAGTTGGAAACGGCTGCTCATTACCTGCGAGATCTTGGCTCTCTGTGGAGGCTCGCGAGAATCAAATCATCGCGGCGGAGTCTTTTCCTCGGCGTGGAATTACTTCGTCGCGATGAAATTCGAGTTAAGCACTCGCTTCGGCGTGGATTAGCTTCCGGGTGCCGATAGTAAATTCGCGTCGCGCTCCGGCATGGTGTAACAAGTAAGCGCAGCAGCTGTGCGACTCCGTCTTTTGTTATTTACTTTCATAATGAGAGGAGGGACATGGAATGTATGTGTACTGAGAAAAAATGGAGTTGGGTCGACGAAGTCGGCGATCACCCGCCCTCAAGGAAATATTTTATCCATTGAACAAATTAGGCGTTAGTGCAATAATAAGCTGATACAGTTACTGACTAAATCGCAATCACTGAATCAATCGATGACTCATCGCAGCAACTGTACCACTCGTTCAATCGACTAAATGTTTACCTGAACGAATCTTGTTGGTTCATGCAAACTCTTATTAACTTTCATTAACTCAACCGCTCTTTTTCTCGATGTGTAGATTATTGTAGAGGCATTAAAATAAAAGTACCAATATCCGGACATGTATTTAACCTTAGACATTCTTATTGTTTTGGGTTTTAAGTAATATTTAAATTTCCAATATAAAATGTATATACAAGTATTAAATATATACATACATTCTATGTTGAAAGTTTAAATATTCGTATTTAAAGGCTAAAACAATAAAAATATTCAAAATTAGGTCCAGGAATTAGTATTTCTATCTTAAAAGAAAACAAGGGAAAATGAATAAGAAACGGCTATTTTTACGATATATATTTTTGCGTGCAGCGAAAATCCGTGATGAAATTCACATCAACGTATCTGGTAAACAAGATTTATTTTTTCATACAGTTGTTGTGCGAAGAATCCGCGTATCGAATCGATGCGATAAAAGGGAAAACAACGATAGCCAGACGTGACGTGATTCGTCACGTGGGGACGCCGCTTTTCCGGTATTGGCAGTTTTTTGCGTATTAATTTCTGGCTCGCTACGTGCCGTTAGTCAGTTGCGTAAGAGTACGCCGAGATAAATTCACGCGAGAAAGTTGACGCTGACGCGGCTGTAAGTGGGAAAATTGAGTATTCTCAGTGGCACGGCGATAAGAAACTGGAGAAGGAATTTGCGACGCCTGCGACGTCGCGAGGCGCGCCGATAATTTGGCACTTAGTAAGACGCGGCCCGACACGTAAGCGAAAATTCGTGATTTACATTGTCGGGAATATAACTCACCGGGATAATCCGGAAAAATCGATATTCTTCCCGCGAGCGCGACGACAAAGTCACTGGGACAATAAAAGTCCGCGGGCTCGCGAGATTGTGCTATTTACACGGGATTAATTTGCAAGGTAATTCTCTCGAAAAACGCTTCGCATCAAAGTACCGAGGCGGAATATTCATGAGTAGGTCGCGAGGTCTTATTGCGTTCAAATAAAACACAATTTACCGTTCCTTTTGCGCGAGCATAAGCGTGCTCGCCAAAGTGTTTAAAATGTTAAAAATTAAAAATCTCTCAGCTCTCCGAATTTCCAGGATACATACGTAACGAACGTCTCGATTTATACGTGGCAGAGCTCAACGAAAATTCACGTCAAAGCAGCATTCCATTCGAAAGCAGATTACAGGAATTTTCTCGGCACACCACAGCTTACCCGACAGACAGTCGGGCGAAAGATAAAAAATTGCGCTGCTTTTTCACGCTGCAACAAAAATTGAGTTGAAAACTACACTGAGAGAAATTATTCGATGAAAAATTAACAAACGGATATTTCTAATCAACGGATATACTAATGAATTTTTATATCCGATTAGGATATCCGATTAAATTTAATTGAATACTTCCGATCATAATGATATTTCATCAGATAAATTGGTAAAAAAATTATGAACCGATATTTCTCATCGGATGTTTCCTGATCAGATAAAAATATTCATCGGTATTTTGATCGGAAATATTCGTTTGTTAATTCTTGATCGTATAATTTCTCTAAGTGTAGATCTCAGAAGTTGCTTTAGTTTTATCGCGCTGCAATCGTGTCAAGTGAAGTGAAAATTAAGTCAGATCTGTCAGTGATCTCGGATCTAGAAACTTGAAGTGAACGATTTAGTCAGCAGTTAAGAGATTAACGAAGTATAAATGTAGCTGTACGTACGATATAAATGTTCTCTCTGCTGGATCGTACGATCGCTTTGTTGAATCGCAGTTTCAAAGCGCGTTTTAAAGAAACCAATGGTTAAGAAAGAACGTTAAAAATTTCCGAAATTCGAAATATCGAGCTTTGAAGTTTCAAAGTTTAAAATTTCGTCGAAAGAATTGGGGCCGTTAGTTCGCCTAGCCCTGAAATTGAGTTCGTTTAACTCGATTCTGGTTGTTTCTACCTTTTTTTTTTCCTTTCTGTAGCGCACATGTATGTTTACCTCGGCACGGTCCGAACGCGACGGTGAGGTGTGTATTTTTGTATGCGAGGTACAAACAGCGGGCACAAACTCCCTTCGCTCGTACGGAGCGCGAATCGTAAGTTTGCAAATTGCGTGCGCGGCTAGCAAGAGGGACGATGATGTTATCGTAATCCGCGCGCGCTCAGCCACGGTCGCCTCTAATGAAACAGTCCCTTCAGGCCGGTTCTCGTTACCGCGACCTGATTATACGCGTGAAGTAGCGCTAAGTAATCCCGGTTATAATTTCGTCGGCCGTGTGATCCGTTCGTTGGCCATCTGGCACGATTGCGCGTGCGTATCTCGCACAACATGAGAGAGGAAAAGAGAGGGAGTGAGAAAGGAAGGAGGCGGGGGGGGGGGGG